TTTTTTCTTTTTGCTTATGTGGTGCTGGGGAATCGAACCCAGGGCCTCAGGCATACAAGGCAAGCGCTCTACCACTGAGCCACCTTCCCAGCCCTCACCTCTTACTTTCACAACAGTAGTTTTGGGTAAACTATGGGCTTGGCTCATATTCTAAAGGGCCTACCTAGGTAGTGCAAGACCCTGAGTTCAAACTCAGTACTGTCTACCCCCCCCCCACATACACATGCACTCATGCACGGACATATGTGCCCTCACTGCCTGGTACCCCTGTCTGTGTCTGTCCTACACATCTGCTTGTCTTATATGTAACCTGTGCTTCAAACACAAATGCTGTTTTGTTGGTGGTGGTCGTCGTTGGGCTTGAACTCAGGGCCTGGGTGCTATCCTTGAGCTCTTTTGCTCAAGGCTACCACTCTGCCACTTTGAGGCACAGCACCACTTCTGGTTTTCTGGTGGTTAATTGGAGATAAGAGTCTCACTGATTTTTCTGCCCAGGCTGGCTTTGAACTGCAGCTCCTCAGATCTCAGTCTCCAGAGAAACTAGGATTACAGGTGCGAGCCACCAGCACATGGCTATAATGCTTTCTTACACAACCATACTTTTGCATGTTAATTCTTCCTTCTCACATGGTTCCCTCATTTCCCAACATATCTTACCTTGTCCTTTTAGGAAACTCCTCTTCATCCGTTAAACCTCAGCTCAAGAATTACCTGAAACAGGGACAGGGAAGGTGGCTCAGTGGTAGAGTGCTTGTATTGGATGCATGAGGTCCTGGGTTCGATTCCTCAGCACCACATAAACAGAAAAAAAAGCTGGAAGTGGCGCTGTGGCTCAAGTGATAGAGTGTTAGCTTTGACCTGAAGAGCTGAGGGACAGCGCCCAGGCCCAGAGTTGAGGCCCCATGACTGACCCAAGAAAAAAGATAGAATTACCTGAAGCAGTGAAACACCATCCCTGGTTTGCCCAGCTTCCTTGGACACTTTTGTTACATCCTCATTGTCCCATGATACCCTACATGCACACTAACATCTTAACTGAGTCATAAGTGCTTTTTGCGTCTGTCTCCAACCTATGTTGTAACCTTTAGTACACGGTGTACATATGTGGGCTCTAAGAAACTGCATCCCCTCTGTGCTGCCCAGTCCCTTTCCTTCACTTTTTTTTCTGTTTACCCTGAAATGGAAATTCTCAATCTGATCACTTCCCAATCTCATCACTTACTTTAAATAAAATTTGAATCCTTGACTTGCATAGCTATTTTTAACCTTCTGGAAAGTTCTAAATGAGTATTTTGGTTTGGAAGCTTTTTTTTGGTGGGGGGGAGCAGGGCTGTGATAGAATCCAGGCCCCATGCATGCCAAGAAAATGCCCTACCTCTGGGCTGCAGCCCCAAGTCTGGAACCAATTTTCTACATCTATTTGTTTTGTCATTTTATAGATTAGGCTATAGGTCTTAGCACATTAAAAAATCTTCATTTTTCTATGGTCATTTTAACATCAGTATGGCATTACACAGCCCCTGCACATCTATAAATTAATTTTAGCTAAACAGGGAAATAGAATCCATTACCTACTAGGCAACATAGTGAGCCTGGCTTGCTAGCAGTTCCTGGAAGTGTGTGTTTTCCAATAAATCTATTCAGATCATACATAAATAGAACCATAAAGCAGAGTCTGGGACTACTAGGATTGTGTTGGTGATTAAACCCTCCCTCCTCTTGAGACCCTGTCAGAGCCTTCCCTCTACAGTAGAAAACAAAAAAAAGATCATATGCTTACTGCCAAAGTGATTCTGACCAAGCATCCTCCACTGTGAGAGATTAAAATAAAGTCTCCTAAAGTCCCTTTCTCCAAATACACAAACAAGTGGCTGGCTCAAAGGCACAGTTCCAGTCCCTGTTGGCAAGAACAGGCAGGGCTCCCAAAGGAGGCAGAGAGCAAGAATGTTTCCTAGAAAAGAAACTAGGGTAGGAGGACCAAAGAGGACTTGCTGATACGGAGCTGTCAAGTGAAAACCGAAAGCTGTTTTCAAAGTCACTTTAAAGCCAGATTATTCTGGGAGCCAAAGAAGGTGGGGCCTTCATGATACCACAGTATGGGAGTTAAGGAGTAGGGGCTGCCTTAACAAAGCATAAATTTGTGTCTAATTCAGTTCATTGGAGGAGGTTATTTGGAAAACTCTGAAGTATCACAAAAATAGGAGTCAAGGTGATTTTGTACATTTGGACATTCATTGTAGCACTATATAATAAAAAAATGCTACCAATTTAAATGTCTAACACTATGCAACTAATTGGATAGCGATGATCTAAAATATCAAAGCACAATCTAAAATATCACAGCACAATCTAAAATATCACAGCACAATCCAGAGTTTTCTTGACATATTTAATAACCTTGGAAGTTCATAATACTGAGGTTTTTTTTTTAAAGAATATACTTCCTGGCTGGGTGCTGGTGGCTCACGCCTGTAATCCTAGCTACT